TCAATTCGTGAAGCTGTTGCCAGTTTCTAAGCTTCAGGGTCATAAATGGCGAGGAAGTCTCAAGCGGAACGCCTGGCCCACCCTTTCGACCGCCCTCGGGGTGCGACAGGCAGGAATTTATGTATAAGGAAAAGGAATGGAGGAGGGACACCACCCTCCTCCTTCTCCTCCTTCTCCTACTCCTCTTCCTCCTCTTCCTCCTCTTCCTCCGCCTTTTCGTCCTCTTCCTCCTCGTCTGTTCATTTTTCTTTTGAAATTCTTTCCTCCCTGTCGCACCCCGAGGCTGGTCAGAAGGGCGGGCCTTGCGTTTCGCGGGTGGCTTTCAAAATATGGCTCTCGCCTCAGTGCCGTGCACATTGGTGTCAAATATCTGCAAGAGTTTCACGGATGGAGGGTGGGTTGTTTTCACAATGTGGCTCTCGCCCTAGCGCCGTGCACATTCGCTATCAATATTTGCTTTCACGGGTTCCCATGGGTAACGTACCAGAAAAGGCGTTTTGGAGCGATTCAGGATTGCCAGGGCGCGACAGTCATGCTGATTCGCGGTGTTGAAGTCCCAGGAACGGAGTTCTGGCACGATTCAGGATCAAGACGAAACAGTACAGTTCATTCGTGGCGTTGGTCCCGAGAATGTTTTGGCACGCCTCAGGATCTTCAAACGGATCTCCAAGTGGGGTACTTTCCTTAAAGGGAAATGAACATTTGTCCGGGCCTGTTAAGAGGGAGCTTTGGAGGAGGGTTTCCGCCAACATCGTTAAGGTATCTTGGGTTTACACTGGTCCTCCTCCTCCTCCTCCTCCTCTTCCCCCTCCTCCTCCTCCTCCTCCTCCTCCTCCTCCTCCTCCTCCTCCTCCTCCTCCTCCTCCTCCTCCTCCTCCTCCTCCTCCTCCTCCTCCTCCTCCCCCGCGACGACTGCGACGATGCCGATCTCCTCCTCCCCATCCCCGCCGACGATTGCGACGACGACAACCTCCTCCTCCCCCACCGCGGCGACGACTGCGACGACGATCTCTTCTTCATCCTTCTCCCCCCGGCGACGACCACGCCATAGCCGGTCCTCCTTGTTGCGCTCTCTGGCTCCCAGGCCTCCTCGACCGCTACGCCGCGGTAGCGCCGCCGCGCGCCCTCTGCCCGCCGCGTGGGGCGGGGGGCCGGGACGGGGCGCTGGGGCGGGCGGAGAGCGAAGGGCGTGGATGATGACGAGGATGATGATGCGGATGATGATGATGATGATGATGATGATGATGATGATGATGATGATGATGATGATGATGATGATGATGATGATGATGATGATGATTGCTGATGATGACGATGATGATGAAGATGAACATGAAGATGATGATAGTAATGATGGTGATGATGGTGCTGCTGCTGATGATGATGCTCGTGATGAAAATGGTGGTGGTGGTGGTGGTGATGGTGATGGTGATGCTTATGATGGTGTTGATGGTGATACTGGTGATACTGATGATGATGATGATGATGATGATGATGATGAGGGTGGTCAGGATGAGGATGATGATGCGGATGATGATGATGATGCTGATGATGATGATGATGAAGAATAATAATAAGAAGAATCTGCTGATGATGATGATGAGGAAGCTGATGATGATGATGATGACGACGATGATGGTGTTGGTGATGGTGGTGGTGATGATGATGATGAGGATTATGATGGTTATGATGATGGTGGTGGTGGTGGCGGTGGTAATGAGGGTGGTGGTGATGGTGTGATGGTGATGGTGCTGATGATGACAGTGGTGTTGGCAATTGTGGTGGTGATGATGATGCTGCTGATGACAAGGGCGAGGAGGAGGAGGAGGAGCCTGAGAAGGGGGGGGGAAGGAGGAGGGGAAGGGGACGAGTAGGGGCAGTGTTGATACTGTCTGCGCGAATGAGCTGGGCTCGCTTCCAAGGCAGGAGGATTGACGAAGTGGCGAGTGGGGCTGGGTCCGGTGGATCGGGGGAGGTACTGCGGCGCCGCGCAGAGGGGGTATGGGGAGGGGGGAAGGCTTTTTATCCGCACGCCTGCTTCTTGGAAGGCGCGGGCCTTGTCTGTAGATTCAAGGCCAGCGCTTTCGCAGAAGCGGCCTCCTTCTAAGAAGCCTCCCCCCCTACCCTCTTGTGCGCGCCGCCAAGAGCTGTGAATCCTTTCGCTTCGCGGGGTGCACGTCCCGAGCACGTCGGTGCAGGTTGGCTTTGGGTGGTTTGCCCTGCTCGTCTGCTGCACTGTTCCGTCGCGTTGTTCTGCCCGCCCAGGGGCGCTGTCAGCGCCGCGGGGGTCGGATGCGCCCTCCCCCCCCACGAGAGCGATGAGCATTCACCGCGTGTCAGCACAAGGCAACGCCAATTTCAAACTCTGGCGATCATAGCAGCAACGCGCCATTCGTATACAATTCCGCAGGTGTCTTGGTGGTTTCTTGGGGGCCGTTTGGGAGCTTCTTTGGGGCCTGTCGGCGGCTTCTTGGGGGCTTCTTGGGGGCCTCTTTGGAGCCTCTTGTGGGCCTTTTGGGGACCTCGTGGGCCGTCTGGGGGCACTCTTGCGCCGTCTGGCCCCTTCGGAGGCCGTCTTGGGGGCCTCTCAGGGCCGCCTTGTGGCTCTCTTGGGGCCTTCTTGGGCCGGCCGTCCTGGGGGCCCCTTGAACCGCCTTGGGGCTCTCTCGGGGTCCTCTGGGGGCCATCTTGGGGACCTCTAGGGCCGTCCTGGGGCCCTCTGGGGGCCTCTGGGGCCGTCTTGGGGCCATCTTGGAGGCTGCTTGGGTCGCCATGGGCCCCCGAGAGGTGAAAAAGGCGAGAGCGCGACAATCCAACACCCCATGAAAATCAATGTTTTCGGCTTCTGGGGAGGCTCTTGAGAGCCTCCGCGGATCCCTCTGGGGCCGTCTTGGAGGGCCTCTTGGGCTCTCTTGGGCCGTCTGGGCCGTCCTGGGGCCGTCTTGGCATAGGAGGATAATGAGGATAATAAGGAGGACGAGGAGGAAGAGGAGGTGGAGAGAGAAAGAGAAAAACATATGTCGAAGCATATTTGAGGTCTCTCGCGGGGGTTTCCTGGGGCCTTGCTGGGACATCCTTGACTGCTTTTTCAATGCCTGTTTGGGCCTCCAGGGTGTTCCTTCGGGGTTTTTAGGGGCCTTTTGGAAGCTTTTTTGGAGCCTCCTGAGGCCCCCATCGGTGCGTCGTGGGCGGGAAATCTCGAAATGCAGGTCTGCGTTTCTTTTTTGGGGCGTCTTTTAGGGTCCTTTTGGGGCCCGTCTTGGGAGCCTCTTGGACCGTCTTGGGACCCTCTTGCGCAATCCTGGGGCGCCCTTGGAACCCTTCAGGGGGACCCTCGTAAGGCGTTCCGAGAGGGTGGTGAACCCTCTTGGAGGGAGGTTGGGGTCTTTGGGTCCGTCGTGATTTTTCCCAAACTAGAAATATTGCAATGGCCTGAGTCAACAACAGCCCAGTGGATTTTGATGAGTTTGGCGTCCTGGGCTCCCCTTGGACGTCCCCATGCGAGCTCTCTTGGGCTTTCTATGAGGGTTTGTGGACCATGTCGAGGCCATCTCAGGTCGTCTTGGGTAGAATTGTATTGGAAGCACGTTGAAGCCGTATTTGGGTCATTTGGGGCCGTTTTGGCCGTCTTCGAAACCTCCGGAGCCGTCTCGGAGCCTCCATGGAGCCCTGGCGCCCCCCCCCAAACGCGCAGATTTGGATCCCCGGGGTGGACCTCAGGGGGGGGGGGGTAACATCTCATACGCCTGGAGTCCCGCAAGGGGGCGGCGGATTTTCCCCAACAACATACAAACGTGAACTTGGACGTGCAACGGCAGTGCAGGTGTCACGGGATACCTCTTCGAGGTCATGTGAGGAGGGTGCGTAGGGACGGGGGGGTCTCTTGGGTTTTGGGTGCGCCTGTGTAGTCCTTGTGACCCCCTCATGCCCCTGGCTTGGAAGACTTTAAGCCTCTATACGTATACGCTGTGTGCGACAAAAAAACGAATCCCCCCCTCACCGCCTCCTTTCCGCCTCCTCCTTCCTTCCCTCCCTACTCACGCCTCCTTGCTTCCTCCCCGCTTCCTCCCCGCCTCCTTCCCGCCTCCCCGCCTCCCCGAGTCCTCTCTATTCCCTGCCTCCCCGCCTCCCTGCCTCCTCCCCTCCCTCCGCCCTGGTCCCCCCCATCTCCCTGGGGGGCACGGTGTCGAGTTGGCCGCGTTTTCTGGGTCCGCGGGGGCCTCTGGGGCGCAGGTTCTTTTGCCGCCCAGTGCACTGCCCGACCGTGGTGTCCGATCCTCCCCCCTCCCAGGCCCGAGAGGTGACCCCTGTGGGGGGGAAGATCGGACATCACGGCCGGGCACCTCGACAGGACTGCATTCCCGAGAGGCGGCCTGAGGTGTCCGATCCCCCCCCTGGCCTCCCAGGCCACGGTGTGCTACAGGAGCTCGCCCAGAGCAGGTCGGTCCATGAGTCCTCCCTGGTTCGCCTGGCGACCCTTCGGTTCGCCTTGCAGCTGCCGCATCCTCGACTCGAACGGGGACGGTCGCACTCCGTTCCCCGCCTCCGGGAAATCTGCCCTGGCCTCCCCAAACATGCAATGTTTGTTAAAAAGAAAACGAGTCCCTGGAAGTCCCGACCCTTTCCCCCCAGGCTGGTTTCCCACCGCGAGTTTTTGGTTGACGGTCCTGACGCCCGGCGAGGGCTTTCAGAGGCCGAGCGCGGCCAATCACAGCCCGCTTTGTTTTTGGTTTCATCGCGGTCACGTCTGGGTCCCCTGCTCTTCATGGGCGGATGATATACCCGTGTCCGCGGCCTCACGGGCCAGGCCCCTTGGCCGCGACCCCGCGGACACGGGGCGTTTGTTCATGGAAGCCCCGCGCGGAACTTATCCCTGCGACCGCGCATCCGCGGGATCCCGCCCTGGAATGCAGACCGCGAGGGCGTGGATACGGATGTGTGCGCCGCTCGTGAGCTCTCCCCAGCCAGCCTCGCGCACCGCCCGACCCCCGCCCCTCGGCAGGCTCGAGCGCGCGCGCGCGGGCGGCCGCGCGGGCCGCGCGGCCGCGAGGGGGACGCCCGCCTGAAGGCGTTTTGGGGGAAGGGGGGGGGCGGCGGCGGCCAGTCCTCGAGCGGGAGTGGGAGGGAGCCGGAGAAGGAGGAGGGATGAGGAGGAGGAGGAGGAGGAGGAGGAGCAGGAGGAGGAGGAGGAGGAGGAGGAGGAGGAGGAGGAGGGGGAGGAGGAGGAGGAGGAGGAGGAGAGGAGGAGGAGGAGGAGGAAGAGTAGTAGGAGGAGGAATAATAATACGAATATGCTGATAAGAATAAGAAGAATGCTCATAACAATACTACTGTCAATGCTGATACTAGCAGTTCTGGTAATGCGAAGAAAACTATTACGGATCGTAATAATCACAGTACTAATAACATTATCAAGCAGACGGCGATTTTACAAACCTTATTAGTATTAAGAACAATGACTAATACGAATATTATTATGACTTACAATCAATTCACTAATGGCTAGTACGAATCACAAGAAGAACATAGCTAATCATAAGACACGCGATACTAAAACTAAAATGGGCACTACTACTACGAATAGTAATACTATGATTACAAAGAAGAGTAACACTGCAATTGTTATGAATAGTAATAATAGTGATACTAAGGCGATGCAGAGACTAGTACTCATAATACCACTAACAACGATAATAATAACCATACTACTCCTAATCATAGTAAGCAGGCTAATAATGCTAATATACATAAGATTACGAAGAATACTAACAATGCTAATACTAATACAATTAATACATTTAACAATCATACAATTACTACTAAAACGAATAACACGGCGAATCACAATACGAGTATGAAGGATACTAAGCACAGTGCTAAGAACAATCACACAACCAACAGTAATATGGAACATACCAATAACAATGCGAGTATTACTAACCAGAAGCATAATCAAAACATCACGAAGCATACTACTACGAAGATTACTGCTACGATCATTAAGACTACTATTAATACGAATAATGCTAGTAGTAATAATAAGACGACTGATAATACTAGGAAGAGTACTACGAATACTCGGAAGACGAACACTAATATTACTAGTAATAAGACGACAGATACTGATACGTCGGCGAATACGAATAATATTACTGGTCGCAATAATGAAATTGATACAAAGACGACGAAGTATACTAATCACACTAATAACAAGAAGACGAACATTAATTATACTAATACCAAGCAGAAGAGGAACACTAATAATAACAACACATGCGAATCATACTACTAAGCAGAATACCGAAAAGGAGGAGGAAGGAGGGAGGATGGAGGAGGAACGCGGGAGGAGGGACGAGGGGAGGGAGAGGGAAGGAGGTTGGAGAGGAGGAGGGAGGAGGGGAGGTGAGGAGGAGGAGGGCGAGGAATGCATAAGGGAAACAGAATCCCGAGCAGAGCAACACGCACCACGACCACGACGACGCCGACGACGACGACGACGACGGAGACGAGGCGCGCTTACGATCCGCACCGAAGCACGGATTTGGGAAAGGGCCCACCCTGCAGGTTCGGTTAAACAGCACATCGTTGAGCGGTGCTGCAGCCTCCCCTGAGCACAGGCCCCCCCAGAGCATCAGCCAGACAAGTCGGGTTTGCACCCTCATGCCTTGCTGGACTCTGGGCGCGTTTCGGCACCCTCTCCCCCAACCTCGTCAGGGCCACCGACAAGGGAGAGGGCGGCGGTGGCCGACGCGTCCCCGAGCTAAGAAGCTCAAAGCGCCGCGGCTCTGAGAGCCGGGAAGACAGACAGACAGACGGACGGACGGACAGCCAGGCGGCGTGCAATGCCTGGCAAGCCAAGTGGAGAAGAAGGAGGAGGAGGAGGAGGGGATGGAAGAGGGGGATGCTGATGATGATGGTGATGATGGTGATGATGCTGTTGCTGATGATGATGATGGTGAGGATGCTGATGATGCTATTGCTGATGATGATGGTGATGATGATGATGCTGATGATGATGATGGTGTTGATGATGATGATGATGCAGACGATGCTGTTGTTGATGATGTGGATGATGCTGATGCTGATGCTGATGATGAGGATGCTGATAGTGCTGATGATTGTGATGATGATGATGATGGTGCCGTTGTTGATGATGGTGATGCTGATGCTGATGATGCTGATGGTGAGGCTGATGATTGTGTCGCCGATGATGTTGTTGATGATGCTGGAGAGATGATGTTGTTGACGATGTTGATGGTGATGCTGCTGCTGCTGATACTGATCACGATGATGCTGACTATTTTGATGATGGTGATGCTGCTGCTGATGATGATGACGATGCTGATGATGATGATGACGATGCTGCTGCTGATGATGTTGCTGATACCGATGCTGATTCTGATTGTAAGGACGATGATGCTGCTGGTGATGTTGTTGCTGCTGATGATGATGCTGATGATGATGGCGATGATGTTGTTGACGATGATGATGCTGCTGATG